CCCCCCCAGGCAGCCTCTTCCAATGTTTGATAACCCTTTCAGTGAAAATTTTTTCCTAGTATCCAACCTGAACCTCTCCTGACGTAACTTGAACCCAATCTGAATTGGCTTTTGTGCTTCATCTGTAACTGTGTAATCGTGACCGGGTTCCCGCGCGGAGCCCCAGCCCGGCTCCCCTCCTCGGACCCTCTGCAGTGCCCAGACCTGGCTGCGTCACCGCCCGCCGCCTCGGGTCCTCCTTAGAAAACGCTTTTTTCTGTGTTCCCTGCGGCTGCTCCCGTGTTCCCCGTCTCTCCCCAGAGCCCGGGGGCAGCACGGACCCCGTCATTTGGCTTTTCTTCTCTCTTTCCAGCGTTGTTGGGTCACTGTCTCTGTTGCGTGTCTCATTTCCCGTACCCCACCGGCATCGTCTGCCGCGGCCTTGTGGGGAACTTCTGAGCATTCGCTGTTTCTCATAATTGTACGGATCCTCTTACTTCCAGCCTTCCCGCTTGCGTTAGTCCATGCCTCTGCTGGCAGAGGGCTGCTTACCGAAAAGGCGGCAGCATAAAATCCTGAAACTAGAACCAGATAAAAAGGCGTTCAGCTAGAAGTAAGGTGCAGGTCTGTATTGGTGGTGTTATGTGTCAGAGCAACTCAGCCGCTCTCCTGACACCCCCCAGAGCACCACGTCCTCCCCTGGGCCCTTCAGCACAAGGCAGACATGGACCTGTTGGGTTCAGACGAGGACCCTCAAAAGATCGGAGGGCTGGAGCCCCTCTGCTGGGAGGACAGGCTGGGAGAGTTGGGGGGGTTCAGCCTGGAGAAGAGAAGGCCAAAAAGGGGAGAGCTCAGAGCCCCTTCCAGTGCCTAAAGGGGCTCCAGGAGAGCTGGGGGGGGACTCTGGGTCAGGGAGGGGAGCCGTGGGACGAGGGGGGACGCTTTGACACTGACAGAGGGGAGACTGAGATGAGATGTGAGGAAGAAATTCTCTCCTGTGCGGGTGGTGATCCCCTGGGGCAGGTTGCCCCGAGGAGCTGTGGCTGCCCCATCCCTGGAGGTGTTCAAGGCCAGGTTGGACGGGGCTTGGAGCAACCTGGGCTGGGGGGAGGTGGCCCTGCCCAGGGCAGGGGTGGACTGCATGATCTTTAAATGTCCCTTCCAGCCCAAACCCTTCTGTGACTGTATGAACTAGGGGGATGATGTAGTTCTAATCAGGGTGAATGAATACCAGAGGTGCTGCATCTCAGACTTGCCAGGACTTTGCCACAGAAGTTAGTCAGTGGCAACCTGTGGATGTAATAGTACAGAAGACAGGTGAAAGATTTTATTTTTACTGCTCCTCATTTCTCTAAAAGATGAATCAAAGAATAATCCCGCTGTTTATTCTTCTCCTAGTTCTTGAGGGAGGACTTGAATTATCATGACCCAACAGTCAAGCACAGCACCTTCCACGGAGAAGACAAGCTCATTAGCGTGGAAGATCTCTGGAAGGCCTGGAAGACTTCTGAAGGTAAAAAAGACAAACAAGCAAAATGAAACAGCCCACTCCACCCCCCGTGCCATAAAAGTGATAGACACTGTGGGTCTCATGCAACCTTGGCAGCAGTGTGTGCACCTCCCAGGAGAAAGTTGCTGCTGCTGCTTTTGCTGCCTTGTACAAGTACTCTTCCAGCTTCCTTTTTTGGGGGGGGGGCTTTCAGGATTTCGCTGGTCTTGGTACTTCCCAGCTGTTAATGCTGGCGTCTGAGTATGGCCATAAAAGTATAAATTGTTGTTTGGTTTCTCTGCCTCTATCAATGCGTGTTGAAACTGAGCCAAATGCTGTCCTATTCCACGTCCTCCTTCGCCTACCCAGTTTCAGCTGGTGTTTCTGTGGGGTAACAGCATCCTAAATCTTCAATAGAGCTGCGTGGGAGTTTTCCAACACACCATGTTTTCCTTAGAAGAAACTTGCTGAACCTGAAGAGCTCCTTAATCTAGTGAAGAGAAGGTAGAATAAAGTCCTAAAGGCAGAAGTGTTCGTGAATCCATTCAATGTAGGAATAAGCTGCAAGCAGCTCAGAAACGGTGGTGTTCATCACAGCAAGTTAACCCAGGGCGGTGAGGGAAGTTCCCTCACCTGTAGGAAACTTCCTGAAGCTTCTGAGTCTTGGAAGGAACGTTGCGGTTCGTTAGTGCTTCCCTGGGTGCTGTGTGTGGGCTGCCCATGCCCTGGGCTTTCCCACGCTGCCTCTCCGGGCACCAGAGGGTGGCCGAGGTGGTCAGGAGAGGCACGATTTCACTTCTGCTTTTTCCCTGACCAGAATTTTGCAATTTCTTTTTTGAGAGATCTTAAAAACCGATTTTTCTTTCTAGTTAAGACAAGTTATTCACAAGTTTTGGGCTTCATTACAGGAGGATATTTTACCTTAAGAGCAGTAGCCATAATAAGAAAAATCTTCACTGCCTTGAAAATGAAAAGGGGGGTATGGAATTAGGAAGATTGCACTTCTGCAAAACATCAGTGTAGTGTTAACTGTGCGATGCCTTTGGATTTAGTTCTTGCGTTGTGAGTGGTGTGTTGATGCCCACTGGTGTATCGGGTCATTCTGTGACCCGCAGCACGGACTGTTCCTGCCGCTGCCCTTTGCTCCTCCGCTTGTGCCTTCCCTTTCCCCTCATGACACTAGTCGCTGTGTTGCTCTCGAGACCTGGAACATCTTTTTTCCCGATACTTTT